CCCGAGCTGTACAGTCTCTTGTTGGAACAAATGTGAGTCTTTGTCACTCTTATCTCTTGAGATGTGTTTGTCAGGTTTTTATGACAGAACGCCAAGAGATTACCATTTATTTTAGGACTTGTCACCTGTTACTATTATATCTATGATGCATTGTCTTTTGCTACACTTGTGAAAAGAGCATTTCTGTTAATATTTTTTCTTTTGATATTTAACAGATTCCTATGTAATAGCATTTAACTTGATTTTATCGTTGACTTAAATCGGTTGTTTTGGACTGTTTGGGCATTGTCTTTTTTGTTGCAAACCTGTCCCTATGATGCATTTCATAAGGACAGTATGCCAGCTATTGTGTTTTTATTTTGTGTTCGTAGAGTAATCCGATTACAGTGTCATTACATAGGAATTGGGGTCAAACTGTACCGTGAACAAAAGATGATAAACTGCATATCAGTGTCTTCAGTGTATTTTAAAAATGGACAACATGCCAGAAAATAAAAAAAAACAGACCTTTAAAATCTTTTGTGCATCTCGAGTCTTGTGTATTTTTAATGTGTACAATTCGTGTTTTTTTACTTGATTGACAATCGTCCACACTGTTTTGAATTTGAGGATTCAAGTTTTTTCTTAAATTCTATCTTGGAAAAGTCCAATTTAAATGGAATAAGACGCATCGATGAAGCTTGTTATCATTTATTCTTCCTCTACAGCCCTGATAACAGGCAAATTGAATCAAATGCCAGTAAAGTTAAATCTATTTTTACCTTTTAATATTCAGCAGGCGTTCAGTCAAAACAAGCAAACGAGTGCAACGTTTCTGATTGAAAAAGGATAGTAGTTGATTGGACAAATACATTACAAAAAACAAATTATCCTGTAACAAACTTTTTCATTCCTATTGCGAAGTACATGTGACAGAAAAGAACAAGCTGCATTAGCCCTTTCGATAACCCGCCAGATTAAGAGGTTTGTCCTTCGATGTGCCAACACCCGAGAGTGCTTGAGCCGCTCTTCAGCCTCAAGTGCTGTGCATTTGAACAAGGATGTAAAGAAAAAGGGATGTAGCCTGCCAAAGAGCTACTCTGTAGAATCATCACTTACTCAACAGTAGCATATACAGTGGGGCAAAAAAGTATTTCGTCAGCCACCAATTGTGCAAGTTCTCCCACTTAAAAAGATGAGAGAGGCCTGTAATTTTCATCCTAGGTATACCTCAACTATGAGAGACAAAATGAGAAAAAAAAAATCCAGAAAATCACATTGTCTGATTTTTAAAGAATTTATTTGCAAATTATGGTGGAGAATAAGAATTTGGTCAATATCAAAAGTTTATCTCAATACTTTGTTATATACCCTTTGTTGGCAATGACAGAGGTGAAACGTTTTCTGTAAGTCTTCACAAGGTTTTCACACACTGTTGCTGGTATTTTGGCCCATTCCTCCATGCAGATCTCCTCTAGAGCAGTGATGTTTTGGGGCTGTCGCTGGGCAACACAGACTTTCAACTCCCTCCAAAGATTTTCTATGGGGTTGAGATCTGGAGACTGGCTAGGCCACTCCAGGACCTTGAAATGCTTCTTACGAAGCCACTCCTTCGTTGCCCGGGCGGTGTGTTTGGGATCATTGTCATGCTGAAAGACCCTGCCACGTTTCATCTTCAATGCCCTTGCTGATGGAAGGAGGTTGTCACTCAAAATCTCACGATACATGGCCCCATTCATTCTTTCCTTTACACGGATCAGTCGTCCTGGTCCCTTTGCAGAAAAACAGCCCCAAAGCATGATGTTTCCACCCCCATGTTTCACAGTAGGTATGGTGTTCTTTGGATGCAACTCAGCATTCTTTCTCCTCCAAACACGTCTAGTTGAGTTTTTACCAAAAAGTTCTATTTTGGTTTCATCTGACCATATGACATTCTCCCAATCCTCTTCTGGATCATCTAAATGCTCTCTAGCAAACTTCAGACGGGCCTGGACATGTACTGGCTTAAGCAGGGGGACACGTCTGGCACTGCAGGATTTGAGTCCCTGGCGGCGTAGTGTGTTACTGATGGTAGCCTTTGTTACTTTGGTCCCAGCTCTCTGCAGGTCATTGACTAGGTCCCCCCGTGTGGTTCTGGGATTTTTGCTCACCGTTCTTGTGATCATTTTGTCCCCACGGGGTGAGATCTTGCGTGGAGCCCCAGATCGAGGGAGATTATCAGTGGTCTTGTATGTCTTCCATTTTCAAATAATTGCTCCCACAGTTGATTTCTTCACACCAAGCTGCTTACCTATTGCAGATTCAGTCTTCCCAGCATGGTGCAGGTCTACAATTTTTTTTCTGGTGTCCTTTGACAGCTCTTTGGTCTTGGCCATAGTGGAGTTTGGAGTGTGACTGTTTGAGGTTGTGGACAGGTGTCTTTTATACTGATAACGAGTTTAAACAGGTGCCATTAATACAGTTAACAAGTGGAGGACAGAGGAGGCTCTTAAAGAAGAAGTTACAGGTCTGTGAGAGCCAGAAATCTTGTTTGTTTGTAGGTGACCAAATATTTTCCACCATAATTTGCAAATAAATTCTTTAAAAATCAGACAATGTGATTTTCTGGATTTTTTTTTCTCATTTTGTCTCTCATAGTTGAGGTATACCTAGGATGAACATTACAGGCCTCTCTCATCTTTTTAAGTGGGAGAACTTGCACAATTGGTGGCTGACTAAATACTTTTTTGCGCCACTATTAGCTACATGCACTTGGGGAAAAGCCACCATAGGACCCTAAAGGAGTTTGGCTATGTGTTAATGCTGTTGATAACAAGACATCTAAAGAGAAAACCATTTAGCGCTACTGTATTCAGGTAAATGTAAGATTTTTTACTTAGATTTTAAACAATGCCCCTTTTTCAGAGGAATAGCGTACTACAGGGGGTCCAACACAGTCTCACAGCATTTTGTGTTATAGCCACGAAATTAATCTATTGATTCGTGTTACACGATTTTCGCATTTTTTTCGTGTCACACAGAACGATTTTTCTATTGGTAGTATGTTTCATGCCTGCACCAAATAATAACAAATAAGAAGGATATATATTTTTTTTTTAATACAAATTTCAGTATTCTGAGGCTCTAAGCCCCATTTATTTTCCTCGCGGACGGCAAAAAAACTCCATCATTATACAATTTAAAATAAAAGGGTTAGGCTTAGGGTGTATTGAGTAAGAAACATTTTTTATGAACCACAAAGCTTCTGGTCTTCCAAGACCTGACCGGACAAAAAGACGTGGTGCAGGCACGAAACATACTATAGAAATACATTGCTTTTAAAATCGTTCTGTGTGACACGAAAACAATGCGAAAATCGTGTTGGTGAACACGAATCAATATATACAGAAAGAAATACAAAGGGCTTGGCCACTCACTGGAGGTGAGTTATATTGCCTCATAAGTTAAGTTATAAGTTAGCAAAATCAATCAAATGTATGTCAATTATGCTTGATACTTGAATATCCTTTAAGAAATAAAAGAGCCTACATCTCAGCTTTCAATATTCAATTATTTTGTTGGCAGCCTTAAAACACAAGCCTAAGATTGCTTATAAGAAGGGGAAATATGAAGGGTATATTTCAAGCTTGTATAAACTAAGATTTGTTAGAAAATGCTTTCAACTTTTATTGACTGAATTTGTTTGAAAAGTTGGCTAATTAAAGAAGTAGAATATAAGACAAGCACAAGTTTCAGGTGGGGGCCATATTCCATTATACTTTTAGAATATGCTGAGGGGCAATTAAAAATGGACCACGGGCCGCATATGGCCCCGGGGCCGTAGTTTGGACACCCCTGGCAATGGCATACTACATGAACTGTAAAATATATTGCTTTTAACTCAAGCATGCATGAGTTTTTGACCTTAACTCTTTATAACTCTCTAGTTTCTATGTTAAAGGACAATCTGCCCGCCCTGTCTGCACTTGTTAAAGAGGGGTGAGGCTCTGAAGTTGACGGGTGATCTCTGCAGCTGGATTGTGCTTTGCAATTTCGTAGTACTTACAGCTGTCAGTCCTGCATGTGAAGTGCTGTATGACTCTCATGTCCTCCCCTGCTGTTTGAGTGATGTTGACAATAGAGACATCTTTCAAAAAGCCACATTAGTACAAACGTTGCCATTTGTGCAGAAGCCAATATAGTCGTGTTACGAATAATGAATGATAGAAAAGATAGATAGAAAAAAGGTGAGAGAGGTTTTGTTCCTAAACATCTGGATAAAGGGTAATCCCAAATTACAATTGTATGTTCATTTATACATCTTCGGAACAAGACTGATGGCTTATGCAATAGAGCAGACTGTAAATATTAAAACAAAGAAAAACATGTGCTGATTTATAGATATACAATGCAGCACACCATATACTATATGTATATATTGTCAAGATGTATTGTAGCTTTATAATGTTTTTGCTTTTTAATAAATACAGACACATTTATTTAGCAAGTCCTT